TTTTTTTTTTTTTTTTTGTATGAGACGATCTAATATGTAGACGAGTTGACTTGATATATTTTTATAAGAAATTTATATTTATACTTGAAATTATGTCACCAATTTTATTCGTATTAATTTATAAAATATCACCTTCCAATTTAAAATTGTACAAGTTTATTGATAAAATATAAATATCTACACGTTACAGTGGTTTAAAAATATACTTACTCACTTTATTGATTGAACATTAAAGTCCAGCTACGAAATAATTCCGTGAGCATTTTTTACCATAGATTATTTACAATAGCTAACTTACACGTACATCTAAAGGCTAATAATAATCTACACGAGATCATTCTGTAACGGGACTGTAATATTTTTCTTATTTTTATATACTTAAAAATGTCTAGTGGAGTACCAACGGAAGCAACTAATCATATTAATCCTCTTCACATCCACCAATTTGGTAAATGACCAAAAAATACATTGATAATTGGAGGAAAATTTACAAGAGTGACATAATAATAAAAAAATAAAATAAAATTATACAAACCGTAGTGCGACACGACCTTACTTGTTTTTTTCTTTTTTCTTTCTTTTTTGGCGGCACTAAAGTTTATACTTTGAACTCTGTGGATTAAAGTAAAAGTTTTTGGGTGGCGCACCAAAGCATTGTTACCAAATGAGATGCTTGGAAATCAAAAGTGTACATTTATTATATTTATTCTACTTCTACCACCAACTAAGTTGATGTTGATTATTACAATACTAGTACGTCACCCGCGCGTTGCGCGACCTGATATCAAAACATGATGTGAAACGAATTATTATTTAAATAAATAAAGAATATTCAGAAAATGTGTAGATAGATAATAAAAAGTATAATGAAAATTTTATTTATTATATTTTAAAATATTTTTTAAAATATAACATTATTAGTGGATGAACAGTATTCATTATTACCATCATCAAAATAATAATCATCAGACAACAGAAATCCGTGACCATAGAAACAATAACATATAACTGGGTGTGATTATAAAACACAATATGTTTTGTAATAAATGATTTTAAATTAAATGAATTCAACTTGAAAAACATTTGTGATATTCAATGTATTTGTCACATTGATAACACTCCTTGAATTTTTTGCCTAAAATATTTTGATAATGATAGAATTTTATTCATTAATAACTAAAGATATTATTACTACTATATATAATAATTGAAATAAACATGTACAAAAGATGTTCAATTAAAATTAAAAATATAAATTAAATACTCAAGAAAAAAATACAAAAATGACTCAATTTCGATCCGCGCATGCGTTTACCTTCAAATTAGGTCCACATATTTTTCACTTTTTTTAATTTGCTAAATAAATTTAACTTCATTTATTTGCAAAATAATTTAGACGGTGATCAGAATAACGTGCAAGATCGATCACCTTATGTAAAGTTACAAATATGCACAATAATCGTTAATGCTTATGTCAATAACAAATTACTT